AAACTATGTCTCAAATAAATAAATAAGTAAGTAAGTAAATAAATTAAAAATAAATAAATAAATAAAAAGACTAGTTTACTTTCAAGCTCTTAATTATATTTTACTTATAAACATGAATTTTTAAATGCTATCCAATATGCCACATAGAAAATATTTAAAATTTTAGTAAGCATGTTTGAATTAAAAAAACAGATATTATAATTTTATTAATATATTTTATTTAATTGCATATATCTAAAATATTATTTCAATCTGTAACCCATAGAAACATTATTAATGACACAGTGCTTTAGAAATCTTTTTGTTCTAGGTCTTGAAGACTTGGCATTTCTCACTTTCTTAGCACATCAGTTTGGATTAGCTAGTGGGTAGCTCACATGCATGGTTAGTGCCGGCTATACTAGACTGTTAAACTTCAGAGGATCATTTTAGGAGAGTGAATTTATTACTTACTCTTGTTTTAAAAAATCACAAGAATATGAAAGACCAGTTGTGGTGTTGTATTAGTCTAAAGGAATGGAACCCGATAGAATGAATGAACACATTAGAATATCTATATTAAAAGGGGATTTATTAGAATGGCTTCCGGGAAGTGGTCTGGGTAGCTAACAACGGCTATCTCACTGGAGAGGATGTGAATCCTGAGTTGTTCAGTCCTGGAGGCTGACTAGCTCAGCAGTTCCAATCTGGTGCTGAAAGCTGGAGGATTCCTAGAGAGCTCCTGAATCTTTAGTCTATATTGGGATTCCAAAGAACTGTGTTCTAACATCAAGGAGTGTCGTAGCAACAAGATAGATGGGGTTTCCCATGAGAATGAGGGCAAACATGCAAAAGGCCAAGTTTTCTTCCGTCATGCTCCTTTAACTCAGCTGTTACCAGAGGGTACAGCCCACATTTAAGGTGGGTCTTTCTGCTTCAGATAAATAAGAAAATTCCTCTCAGGCGGTCTCTACTGTTTGTGTTTTGGTTGATTCCAGATGCAGCTGACTACCAGTGATGGCTGTCACAGCACTCATAGACACACATCATATCATAAAAAAATTTATTTATATGTGCGTGTGTGTGTGTGTGTGTGCATGTGTGCACAAATGCTGTGTGTGTAAGCTCACGGAGGCCAGAAGAGAGTATCAGGTCCCCTGGAGCTGGAGTTACCAGTGGTTGTGAGATGTTGGGGGACAGGAACTGAACTCAGGTCCTCCAGAAGAGCAGCAAGTGCTCTTAACAGCTTCTCTGTCTTTCCGATTCCACAGAATGATTTTAATGTCCTATTGCAGTACTTTCGTTTTTGGGGTAGACAACTGGATTAGTGCTACCCCTTTAATCTGTCCCCGTGACCCACCGGGCAGGAACGAGGGCTCAGTGTGGAAGGATGATTTCCTTACAACTTTTCAATTTGATCCCAACAATGAAACGGAAACGGAGCTGGTGACGGAGCGAAGCCTCCCAGTTAAATATGGATGTCTAGACCTGAGGTTTTTAAACTGTATGTTGTGCTCCTGTAACGGAAGGCGAGGGTCACAGGTAAAGATTTTTGGAATGCTAATGACAAAAAATTAACTCGAAAGGAAGTGCTGAGTGAATCCAAAGTGTTGCTGGTGGCACGTGCCCATGCTACATCCCAAGCTGTCACTGCAGACTTGGTTCTGAGCACACAACATGTGCACTTTGTACTGTGGACAGCCTGTGCACAGAACCAGCAAGCACTGCTCAGCTTGGAGTCAAAATGATTGCATGTTGCGAGCAATGCTCTCGGCTCCACTAACAGCATAAGGAGTTCATTACCGGACACAGAGACTTCAGATAATTTCCTGACGTCATTCCTTAGCACGTGGGTCTAGAATAAGCGTACATTAGGTTGTATCCTGCTAGAATGTTTGGTTTTTAAATTGCCCTTTGATATTTGATATTCATAAAAAGAAATCATCCTGTGAATTTTGGCGGGATAGTAAGAGAGAATGAACTTCCAGCCACTCCTGACATGGCGTTAAACATACCTCTGCCGTTTAGTATTATGTGTTTATGTGAAGTGGTGTTCTCAGTCCTGATAATTAGAAAATCAAAATATCGATCAACTCTGGACAGCAGTAAAGATGGTCCATTTCTTGCAGTATTCAGCCAAGATTTAATTCTTTGTGTATGAAGAAAAAGCACATTCATCTCATTACTATAAAAATTTGCTTTTGTCTCCAATAAAAGGTAAAATTATATGTTAAAGAATTATTTTTTTAAACTAGCTGCAATTTATCATTAGTAAATGCTTGATTGATTTGTATATCTATCTTACGTGGCTCATGTAAAAGTCTTGAGATTAAAGGGGTCGCCAATGGGAAGGGAAGCCCAGACCAGAAGAATCTCTCCATATATGAAGGCAGAACCAGGCTCCTCAGAGAGTAGGGAACCAGTGCAGATATTTCTAAATGCCTGCCTGATATTTGAAGGTAGGATTGGCCCTTAATTACTCTCCTTTCTTCTGTATTTAATCTCCACTCAAGGCAATGTTATATAGGCCTATGAATACTCAGTCTCCAATCAAGAGATTCGTAAAGAATCTCTGGTGTTAATTCTTTGACAAATTCATGAATGCTCATTTCGAAAAACAACCACCAAGAACCTATAGCGCTGACTTAAAGTTTATAATATATGATTATTATTGAAGTATCATGGTAGCTCCGGTCCTTTTGATCCTCACTCTAGTTGTTAGGGACCTATTTCTGTCCCCTTTTTCTGTTCTTGTACCCTCCTTCTTTCCCCGTCTCCTTCTCTCCTCTTTTCACCTCTTTCACTTGTCTTTCTTAGCTTATTTTGTGTTACCATAACAAAATATCCAAGGCTGGCAACTTTATAAAGAGGTTTATTTGGGCCCATTGTTTTGCCAAGCACAGAGCTGGCCCTAGCCTCTGGCAGGAGCATGCGCAAGATCACCTGCTGCGGTGAGAGAGGAAGCACGAGAGGGAGGGGCCAGCCTCACTTTTTTATTCAAACTAATCCACTCCATTGGCTCTACCCTCTTCCAAGAGCATTAATCCCTCTGTGAAGGGCAGTTCCGACCCACCCGCAACTCAGGCCTCACTGCTTAAAGGTCCTGAAATCTCTCAATGCCATTGCATTGTAGACCAAGTAGTCTTCGTGGAGCTGGGGGTGGGGTTGGGGAACCTTACCCGAACCGCATCACTGTCTATTCTAGATAGCTGTGGAGAAACTTTGTACAGGCTAGGTTCACCCTATGCACGTATTTTTCTTTGGGGTTTTTGGTGATAGAAAAGAGAGTCACTCAGTAAAAACAGCATCTGCCATACAATCTCACATAAACTATGGCGCTGGGGTACAGGTCCACAACATCGTTCTTTCAACAGGAAATTGAGTTTGTATCTATTGTATGTTTTATTATTCTTAATGGATACACACTTTGAGTTTTGACACATGTCTCCAAATGACTTAATGGCTTGTCAGAAAGATTTTCGTTCTTTTGACTTCATCTGGAAGTGCTGATCTTTTTATTTTTATTTTTTATTTTAAAAGTAGGCAACCTTCCTTAGGGATGAAATGTTTTCATTTTAGTACATAAAATGTATCTTCCATTTTCATTAGTTAATACATGGAGCCTCTATCGGTAATATTGTTTGTTTGTTTGTTTTGTTTTGTTATGTTTTTCAGTAATGCCGTTGTTGTTTTGGTGTGTCCTTCTCAGATAGCTAGCAAGCCCAGAAAAACAATAGCTCTCCAGGGGGTTAGTATGTTATGGGATTTCTTTGGTGATTCACAAATGCCAGGAAAGTCAGTGGGCTGCTCACTGAGAGAGCCAAAGGAAGACACTGTAGAATTTGGATTTAATCACTGAACTTTTAAGAAAACATAGTATGGATGGGTGACTCACCCAGGGGAGCTGCCCTCCAGCTCCATCCTTTAAAGGAACCATGACCCAAGGCCTGCTAGTACTTTTCCCTCCTTCTCCAAAAATTTCCTCAGGAGAGGATGCCTAGATTTGCCAAGGGAGCCTAACTGCTTTCCTGAGGGTCAAGGTCTGCTGTACGCAGCAGCCAGTCGGTGGCACTGTCACTTGGTGTCCATGGTAGATGCTTAGCAGTTGTAATCAGTCCCTAAGCAGTGTGGCAGTGTTTCACATTCACACTGCAGCCTGTGTGTGAAAGTTGTGGTTTAACATCCTGTGTTTATCATCAGAAGTCAAGGTCCCCTTTCCGTTCCTAGGGGAGCCCCTGGCAAGACAGGTGCCTGGCTTGATTAGTGGGAGACCAGAAGATGCAGCAGAGGCAAAGGTTGCTGATGGTGATGATTGTGGTGATGGTGGTGATGGTAGTGGTGGTGATGGTGATGATGGTGGTGGTGGTGAAGGAGGAAGAAGTGGAGGAGGAGGAGGAGGAGGAGGAAGAGGAGAAGGAGGAGGAGGAGGAGGAGGAGAAGGAGGAGGAGGAGGAGGAGGAGGAGGAGAAGGGGCAGCATCCTCTGGAAAGCTCAGTGTCTGCTGCAGCAGCTGCAACAGGAGCACCGAGTACCAGTTGCTCAATAGTTTATCACTTTGTATGGCCGTTTCTTCTCCTTTAAGTGAGTTTCTGTTTCGAGGGCAGAGCTCCATAGAAGAAAGGTGTGGTGGCGATGGGGACCTTAGGGCTCTGGAATGTCCAGACTGAGAAAGCAAGGCAGTGCCTGCACTGCAATAATATCTGGCTCTGGGCTTAGGGCTCTCTGGAGCCTTCCTGTCTCTCTGGCAAGGGACTCTGAGACTCGGGAGTGTCTACATAGGCGGTGGCTCGGGGTGTTGGGGGGTGGGGTCCTTGTCTTCTCCACATTGCCCAAACTGCTGAAAAGAAGGGCGTGGGTCTTGGGGCTGGCGGGGTCCCGGACCGTGGTGCCTTAGGGGTTCAGGCTCTCGGCCGGCCCAGGCACTGGCGGTTGCCATGGTGACGTAGGGTCGGCTGTGCGCCGTAGAGACAAAGCGGCCCGCCCGCCCGTGGCTCCCGAGCTCCTCCTCCGCCGCGCCTCCCTCAATCCCCGGCGCCGCCGCCGGAGTGGCTCTCGGTCCTCCCATCGATCCTCCCGTCCGTCCTCCCGCCGCCGCTGGTCAGGTAAGGCGCGCGCTAGTCCGCGCGGCCCAGGAAGGGTCCCCGGAGCGCGGGGTCCAGCCGCTTCGGGGATGCCCCGGAAGCCCTGCGGGGCTACCCTGATGCCACCCACCGTCACGGCCTCCCGGAGCCCCGCGAGCCCAGCACCCGCAGCAAACTTCGGGCCGCGCGCCGGGCTGCGGAGCAGAGCCCTAGACGCCGCCTGATCTGTCCCGACCAAGTTGAGGGGCGGGCCGAGCCATACCCACCTGCCGGGTATCTCTCTTTTTCCTTCCACTTCTCTCCTTTGCCTTTAGGAGGAAAAGAAGGAAACAAAATTACCCTAGGACTTTCGTGTTTCATGATTAATTCCTTACAGAGTAGGATAGGAGGTGTAAGGAGCAAATGCGAGATTTTTTTTTTTTTTTTAATTTAAGACAAGTCTTTGAAAAGTCAGCTCCTTCTGACGTTTGTGGTCCACGCATTTAGAAGTGGTATCTGAAGTTCCTCTGGGTTTTGGGTCAGAATCTGGAACTGCATGGTGGGAAAGAGTGCCCAGGCTCCTCATCTAGTCTTTCTAGAGCTGTTAGCTGGACCAATACCTTGTGGAGGAGATATTTGGCACAGACATCCTTACTATTGTTTTTGGAAGATACTGTGTTTTCGCTTTAGGCAAGTGGAAAATGCCTTGTGTTTTTATGCAAGGGAGCCATCCAAAGCATCCTCGGAGGCAGGCAGGTATCCAGGCAGTGTTTGCATCAGTGTTTACCAGTGTGGTGGCAAGGACTGAGATGCAGTTGCCAAGGGCATTGGGGTACCTGATAGGGAACTGCTCGAGTTGTGGGTACCAGTCCTTTTCAATGGCCCCAAGCCAGCAGATCATTTCATGATAGTTTGTTGCAGACACAAAGAATAAAATTTAAAATGTGATAGAGAAGACTGTTTTTGGGGGGAAGTACTAGAAATGATGTGTACTATTATGAGAGAAAGAAAACATGTTTTTCGGGGTTACAAGTGATCAGTTAAGGATATTATAGACGTGCTGATGTTATTTGTATTAATTGGGGACAGACGCTGTGTTGGTATCTGGAAAATTACCCACCTGATTAAGTTGTATAACTCAACTTAGAAAAATCATGTTTAAGTAGGTTAGAGAACGTTTTAGGGAATGAAAGGAACTATAGTTTTGTTGTTGCTGTTGTTAGCTCGTATTATTAATGAAACAGTAACATCCATCATTGTGAGTTGTGGGTAAGTTGATTAGAATTCTAGGTATGACTAAAGGAGGTGCCATCCCAGAGTGATTGTCTAATATCCCCCCCTCCTTTCTTGGGATTCCAGCACCTGTTGGCTTGCTGGTTGCTGAGTTCCTGAGCCTGTTCTCATGTGCCAACAATTTTGAGTAATGCCACTTCATTATAAGACTGTATTGGAGACTAAAGGATCTACGATGTGGCAATTTTCAGATTATTTCCACAAAATTGGGCTTGTTTTTAAACTGATTTTTTTTTTAACCTGCGGAGTGGCTCACAGATGCTCTGCTAAATACTCTTTGATGAAGGCAATGAAACACTAGCCTGATTCAAATGAAGTAGAGCAGGGTTGAGAAGAGAAGCAGGGGAGGAAAAATCAGCATTTTCTCCTTTCAGCCTGAGAGGCAATCAGACCATCAAAAACCGAAGGCACATTATATAGTCACAGAATGTAGTTGCTTGGTACTAAAAATACAGTTTGAGCTCTTTCTAAGGTACCAGGAGTGTAGCTTTATTTAGCTCTTTGTCAGCAATCCTAACATTCAAGTACAAGGGCTCTGTACCTGTAAGCCATATGAAACCCACACTGGGAATTCTAGCCTGGGCAGTTGTGGCTCACAATTAAGAGTGTTGAAGCATAGAGCTTGCTTAATGTTACTATGGCAAGATAAGGGCTCCTGTTTGCTCTTCCGTGCCAACTCATGCAGGTACAAGACTCAATAGTTTGGCGTCTTCAAAGAGCTCCACTTTTTTTCTTCCTTCCAAAATAAAACAAATAAATAGAAATGAACAGCCACGGATTGAATGCACTGCTTAACTGCATTAGGTGACTTACAGAAATGTGGTCTCACGATTGCATATATCACTGGCTTTCTGGAGTGTGAGTTATCACCAGGTGTTAAAGCCACTACAGGGAAGGAGGTGGCCGTACTATTTCAGTAGGAAACGCAAAAACATACCTTAGGGACTTGGAACTTGACTCAAATCAGCCACTTGAGGGCAAGCAAGCATGCCCTTAGGTGTGAAAGACGGGTCACGACTCTCCAAGACTCTCAAGGGTGCTCATCTTTTTCTTGCACATCCTGGTTTAACAGTTTGAATTTTACAAAGTAAAACTGGCCTTAATGTTTTGGTCTAAGTTGTAAAACACGGTCTGGTAATCGGTGAGATGGTTGGCCCACCTGAGAATTCTGTTCTTTCAGTGTATCAAATGTATGCAAAGACACCAAAGCAAGCCAAGGAATTTTGTTTAACTTCAAATTGTTGTTGCCTTCGTGCAGTTGAGAGTCAGTTGTCTGTAACCATAAAGCCTGCCTGGCAGCCTCAAGCCACTGAGCATCCCTCCAGTTTCTGTGTCTGGACCGTCGTTCTCTTGTAATTTCTGGTTGCACTGTGATAGCATAATTGTATCTAGTGCAATGTGTGATAGCATTTATAAAATCACATTGCTGAAGGACGATGGGTTCTTAATGACTTCATTACCCAGACACTTAGGCTGGAGAGAAGATGACCCTGAGACCTCGAGGCAAAATGCTATAAATATAAGGTATCATTTCCTGACCTGCTGTGCACGGTGGGTATTGATCATAACTGCTGTGCAGAGAACAGGTGGAGGGAGGCTGGCCATGGTGGCAGGAGGAGGTCATTTCGTAGCATAGATTATTAGTAATGACTGATAAGGTTAGAAAAACTATTGTGGGTATGTTCCAGTTTTGCACTTTTAGTAAAGGAAAGATACAATAATTTAAAGCCATATTGTGAACTCCTTAAGTGCTGGGTGGAAAATGTATATGTTTATATTTGTGAGCTAGAAGTGTAGTTCAAAGAAAATGACTGATTTCTCTTAACTTCTAGCTACATGCAGCACTTAGACAGTATAGATTCAGACACAGTTAACAAATGTGGACCAAGTGGTTCCTTCTTATAGATGAAACTATCAGAGCTCTTTGGTTGAAGAATATTTGTTTTATACATACTCTCATTATTTCTTTGAGTTTATGTTTTTGACTCACCGTATCACCACAGTTTACTCTTGTGGTTTACTGTGCCACTCTCATTTTTTTTCTTTGTTTTAGGGCAAAAGTTACCACTTAACCCAATACTGATTTTTTTTTTAATTTATACCTTCAGAGCTTCTTTTTAAAATATGGTTTGGCTAATTTGTAGTTCAACCAGAAAAATATTAGAGCTCAGTGAGTGACGGCGCACATTAATGAGAAACTACATCGCAAGCCTTATTCTTCATTTTGGATGTCTGCCGTGGTGCTGCAGGACAGGAGCATTTGGGCATGTCTTATGCGTCTCGAGTGTCTTATGCTAGATTTCTGTTTCTTCCCTTTAACTCAGTCAAAGGTGAAACCCCAGGAACTGGGCGGTAAGGGTCCAGCAGGTGAGAAGGAGGTCCAGCCACACCAAGGGCCTTTGGGGCACAGTGTTCAGGTAGCAGGGAGGAAAGACTCTGATGCCTCTAAACATCTTTTTAATACTTTATGGTTCAGATTCCCTGCCAATTAACCAAGGTCATTTTCATAGGGTTTCTGAGGCTAGACACTCTTACACCAGGGGTGCTGATCTTGGTGGCTGAGAGTAACTTTCCCACTCTGACTCAAATGTGCATTTGGGTTATGTGCACTTTGAACATTGCAAACCACACATGAAAGCTGGAAAACACATTTTCCCCCCTCCTCATATAGGCCATGAAATCCACTTGCTTGGGAATGCAAGTTAGATGCTCAAGATCACAGTGAATCTAAAATGGTGTGCTTGTCTGGAATGTTGGGTATGTTTGAAAGGGCTGCGTTCTGAGTATTGGTCAGCTGTCTTTCCTAACGTCTGACTACAGTCATTCAAGCCAAACATGACCCTTTATACAGCTCGATCATAACGAGGGGCATCAGGTAGAGTTCCACTAAAGAATAGATATTTATTCAAGCTCTTGAATTATAAATCAATTGGGAAAGGGCTTCTCTGTGACTTTATCTGGCATCTTCTTTGATTATATATTGATTTTTCTAAGCCCCTGTTTAAATTCGGTCATTTGGATTTCCATGTTTTTTTTTTTTTTAAATCAACCAGTTAATCAATCAATCTATCAGCCAGTCAATCAATATCAGCCAGTATGCCTGACACTATGCTAAGTAGGTTTCAGATATGAACTCATTATTTTCTATGCATGAACCTTAGGTAACAAGTACTGGTCATTGTCCTTATTTTATGAATGGTGACAATGATGGGTTTTCTTTGTTATGTTAACAAAAATCTCCCAGGTTTTAGCTTTCTGTCAAGCAATGTATCAAGCTTTATTTTCTATTCAGTAGAATATACTAAATATAGAATAACGGCACTGGTATTATGCTTGGACATTTTTTCTTATTTTTTCCCATCTCTTTTGTAAGAAGAAACAAAACCTGAAGCCACAGAACAAGACACATTTCTTCATAGTGTATCATGACACATGCCAGCATTATTTTCTTTGTGGGGATGATGGGACTGTTCTGGACCTAAATGCATAGTCCAGTGTGATCTAGAACAAGTGTCCAGGCTGGACTGGCTCAGCCTCTTGAGTGTTGAGATTATACTTGTGAACTAAAAATTTCCCTTAGTCCATGATTTAAAATTTACTTAATTTAGTTTTTCTTTCTCTTTTTTTTTCTTTTTGCAAGGGTGGGAGGACAGGGTCTACAGGTCTACATAGCCATGGCTGTCTTAGAACTGACTGCTTTAACCAAGTTGACTTCAAACTCACAGAGACCTGCCTGCCTCTTTGCCTTG